CAACAACAACAACAACAACGAGTCTGCAGAAGGAATGGGGGCATGGGAAATATCTCAGAAGGGACCCTCCCTAGTTTCTTGGATTGTAAAGGCAAAGGGGGAGAGATGTATTTTCAGATTTGGGAGACTGATGTCAGCCTTGTGAGGTAGTCCAGACAAGAAGCATACCCGGAAGTAGAGCTCTATCTTTATTGTGAGGTTACATTAAAAGTACATCTCTACATCTACGCAACTGCCATAATATCTATGAGGCAGGTCTGCTGGGACTGACAGGAATTGGAGTCCAATAGCAATTGGAACACCACAGTTCTAGACAAGAAATTATTTGAGAGATTATTCTTTGTCCCAATACAATACAATGCTGGCTGGAGAATTCTGGGAGTTGAAGTCCATACATCTTAAAGTTGCCAAGTTTGAAAAATACTGTTCTTTATCTTCTTACACATACACATGCACCGTCCAGCACAGAAGAAACAGCTTTAAATCTCCTCCTCTCTTGTCAAAAACAATTGTTGCCACAACAGATTTCCTAATGGAAAGTAGAGTCAAGAATCCTCTCCCCTATGGCCACTCCAGTTGGAACCATTTCCTGTCTCTAAAATAGCATCCAACAGCAATGTTACACTGCCCAAAACTGTTGTCTAGCAGCTGAAGTAATATGGAAGCCAAAGTGCTATGGCTTAGTACCCTTCTTGTGCCGTGCCTTGGAGCCTCGTAACAGGGAGTGAAGATTAAGGCCTGAATCTGGAGTAGAAAACTGATAACACTCCTCATTCGCTGAATTACAAGTTCTGGGACCCATTATCACTACTCATGCTGCCTGGGGCAGTGAAGAGTTCGGCGAAAGTTGTAAAATCCAAATAAGAGCACATGGGCAGAATAAGTCTGGTGAGCTTGGCATGGGAGTACAGAATTGAACTTGAGCCTTTTAACACACAAACAGGTGGTTTAGTGGTTTGGCATCTTGGACTACTCAAAGACCCACTCAGACTCAAAGACCCACTCAGCCTTGAAACTCCAGTCACTCTTTTTTAGCCTTTCAGGGTTTTATCATAGGATAAAAAGTGTGAGGGGTGGGGGTAAAAACGAAATGTATTTCCATGCAATAGATCAAGAAACTATATTACATTGGTTCTTCTCATATGACCAAGATAGGCTTACATTTTTCACTTGTCTTATTCCTGACAAAACCCAGGTCAGGCCTCTAAACTTGTTTTTCAAAAAAGGGAACAACCCTATCATTTGCAAGCCACAGTATCCTGCTTTGGGTCCTTTTTTAAAACGACAGATGCACCTTCAAGTAACTCTCCTTTTCTTCAATACGATCAATACATCCATCTCTCTTCAGGGATCCCTTGCCTAGGAAAATTCCCTGAGGTCATAATAGTAATCCATCTAAATACCTTTAACATAAATCTTGGACTGTTTGAAAGTTAACACCTCACCTCATGTTTAATAACCACAAAATCCAACAGGTAATGTCTTTCTACCTGTAACCCTCCAACTAGACAGCCCAATGAGAGCTAACGGTTGTCCTAGCTTCTCTGGGAAGACGGGATGCTTTTATAACTGCACCCGCTTTCGCTCACAGTGCCAGGCACCATTTAATTAGAAAAACGTGCTCCTATCTATCCACCTGCCTGTTTTTTTATGGCTTACTTGGGCCTTTTTCATGCAGAAAGCAAATCCCACATCAGTCTGCTGTTGCAACCTGAACACGAGAGATTAGTGGCGACAGAGACTAGCAGAATCAGTTTACCTCCTCCCAGGCGAGCAAATGATATTATTTCATGAGGATGGAATTGTAGAGCTCTTTGCTGTCACTTCAGAAAACCTGCAGTTAATAACCATATTAAAGTCTGTGTTCTTTTGCAGGCCAGTCTATTTTATTTTCACAATTTTTACTCTCTTTTAAGTTTCTGAAAATAATGACCTGGATCCAGAAACCCATTTCCATATTCATAAGGCACTTCCACCCAGCTTTACTTTCAGCAGCAGTTGTGTGCCTCACAGAGTGCTATTCCAGAAGGGCCCACAACCTTTACTGCCCAGGGGGTCAAAGGAAACAGCGGGGCTGCCATCAGCAGTAAAAGGCTTCCATGTGGGCATAAAATACTGTGTATAGCACTCGAGATTTTAGCCTGCACCAACATACACTACCCAAGATTATCACACACACTATCCTCCCTGTTTGATCTTCCTTTCAAAATTTCAGTGTAATCAGTTATACTGAAATTCCGCCTGAAAAAAGTTTGGCAAATTAAGTAATACTTCAAATTATCCAGCTGAAAAAAAAAATTGTTAGAAAAATGACTGGTTTTAATTTTTTTGTTGTTGTTACAGGTAATCCTCAGGTTACAACCACTCATTCAGCAACCATTCAAAGTTACGATGGCACTGAACCTGGGGGACTTATGACTGGTCCTCAGAGTTCTGGCTGTCGCAGCATCCTTGCAGTCATGTGATCATGATCTGGGCACTCAGTGTCCAGCTTGCAATTGCAATGTTGTAGCGAGCTGCGGTCATGTGATTGTGATTTCAGACGTTCACTGCCAGCTTCCCACAAGCAAAGTTAATGGGGAAGCTGGCAGGAAGTCACTCCTGCCCCTTTTTTGCCCACCCACACTCCAGAGTACCTGTTCGCGGCATCCCCCACCCTCTGGAGTGCATGCCTGTGGCACACGCACACCCCCCCCCCACTGGCTTGCTTGCCTGGGATTCCTGCCTCTTCCTGTTTAATGACCTGTGCAGTCCTGGGGTTATGATGGCAACCAGGACTTCTGGGATTGCCATTTCTAAGCAATGTGGTCACATGACATTGTGCTTTATGACCCCATTGCTTAGCGACAGAAATTCTGGCCCCAATTGCTGTCATAACCCAAGGAATACCTGTATTATTATTAGTATCCCACCTTTTTATGCATTTGATCAACTCAAAGTAGTAATCATGCCTAATATTCCTGCCTCCTATTTTCCCCACAACAACCACCCTGTGAGTTGGGTTGGGCTAAGAGAGAGTGACTGGCCCAAAGTCACCCAGGGAGGCCTGGAACTCACAGCTTCCTGGTTTCTAGGCCAGCACCTTAAGCACTACACCAAACTGTTTTAATCAACAGAATGGATATGAGTGCGTACATGTGAATGATGTTATCTCCTCCCCAAACACTATATAGCTATTACTGAATACATTCATTCTACCAAGACCCAGATTAATCACAAAAACATTCAGTGCTGCAACAACTTGCTAAGTCACCACCACATGTAGGATGTGACTGCATACTGTAACAGCTGGCCCACGTGATTGAGCACCTGTGCAGGAACCAGTGTACCATGGTGGAATTCTTAGAAGACAAGCAACAATATTGAAGTGGTACAAAGGGAGATACCAAAACCTCAGGGGAGTTGATGGTATAGTTGTTAAGAGTAATAGACAATTCTGGCAGCTGTGAAGCTCACTAAGTGATTTTGGGCTAGTCATTTTCTCTCCACTTTCAGAGGATGAAGTTTGGAAGAGGTACAATATCATCTTGAGTGCTGGACAAAAAGCAGGTAATAAATGTAATGAACAAATAAATACACCAGAATCACCATCATCTGAACCTCAACGTCCCTGCAAAATTTCTTCCAATGATAAATTACAACTACCTCTATCTGCAGATAAACCAAAGCAGCAGGTGTGGTAAAGTCAGAACTCTGAGCTACGTGCCACCTTGAATTACAGAGGTCTTTACACTGTTGACTTTCCATGTGCATTACTAGTACAAGACTAAGTATTATTAGTTTCCCATCACAATTCCAAACATTCCTTTTCATAGCACATAGAAAACAGCAAGAAAATCATGCCAATCTTATCAAGTTTATATGGACTACACTTGAATGATCTGACGAAAGAATCTATCAGAAGGTGGAGTGCTAATCAAAGTCCCCTAATTCTACATTCTGCTTTAAAAAACAGTTTAGGAATATAGTTGCTGGCAGGCATTAATTCAGCAGAAGCCCGTTCCATATGCCTCTATGGAACAGAGCAAATAAAATATAGGAAATAAGCTCCATAGGTATATGCAGACTAATCCTTAGCCTGCTACCTCTTCCCTGAAAACAGGGACATACACTGGACTGCTTGAAAGCCATCTATATGGCTAAGCTTCCCCATTCATGCCTCTCTGACCAACTCATCCATCTGAACACAACATTCCATTGCCTTATTTAAAAAATTATGCCCCAAGTTAGTATCCCAGAACAATATGGAAGGATTTGTCCATTTCAGTTTTCCATCCATGCACTAAAAAGGTCAGAAGATGATGGCCCCATGTGCAGTGAGTCCCAACACTAATTCCAGGCAGCCATGAGAATAGAGA